ATATAAAATACAAATCATTTTAAAATGCCAAGCCAGGGATGGGCTGTATCTCAGCAATGGCAGAGTGCTTGTTTAGCCTGCATGAAGCATAGATTCAATGCCTATCACCAAATAAAACTGGACATTGCGGTGCTTGTTTGAAATTCTTGTACTTGAGAGGTAGAAGAAGGATAACAACTTAAAGGCCAGTCTCATGAAGTCCTGTCCCCCAAAAAGGTTAAGCACAGTATGGTGATGCCAATAATCTTAGCACATGGGAAGCAAAAGCAGGAGGATCACCAGAAGTCAGCCTGGCCTACAGCCAGACTGGGCTACTTGGTGAGACTCAGTCTCTTAAAACTTTATCAAGCCAAACCAAGGAATAGACTGAAGATAACTCAGTTGTAGAATGTATAATACCATAGGTAAATTCTACCCTAGAACACACAGGCAGAATGTAATAGGCTCAGTATATGAATAATAAAATGCTACTATTAACCAAAAGGAGAAAAAAAAATACAAGAGCCTATGAACTGGATACAGCCTGATCCTCTAGCCTCTACATTACAAAGCTAATATTACAGGTCTAAAGTGCATGTTATTCCACAGCTAAGGTATTGGGTAATATAAAGGAAAAAATGGGGTGGGGATAGAGTTACTTGATAAGACCACTAACCTCCCATGTAAAATATCCTGGGTTCCATCTCTAGCACCACATAAACTAGTCATAGTGGTGACATGCTTGTAATACCAACACTTAAGAAGTATGAGCAGGAGTTTAAGGTAAGCTTAGGCTTTGTGACATCTTTAAGACACGGTCTCACTTATGTAGCCCCTGGCTAGCCTGGAATACACTACGTAAACCAGGCTGGCCTCAAACTATGTAAGTCTATCTGGGACCGAGTATTGAGATTTAAAGATGTATAATCACCCTACCTGGCTATGGCATCTTCAGAAAAAAAATTCGTTACATAGGAGGAAATATTCCCTAATTCGGTTTTGACGTTATGCTTTTTTCTAACTGCCTCAGACTCCAAATAAATTTTATTCTGGTTCCATGGAAATGAATCCTGGCCCTTTGCCAAATGGCACATTTGTCAGTGAAGTGTTAGTAAGCCACCACAGGACTTGGGTGTGTTTCCTGCTTCATCTCTAGCTTGAGGAGCCTGTCTGGGTTGTGCTCCTACAGGCCACATGTGGTCTGGACTCTGTAACAGCTTCCTCAGGAACACCCTTAGGCAGTTTTTACAGTTGAGTACATCTGACAAGACACTTCCTTCTGTAGTTTCTCCAGAAGTTACAGGGCAGATTTCTAGTATGTTCTGCTACTGTAGTACCAGTGCCTCCTTAAACAGTCAAAAAGTCCCAGCCATGCCTCTTCAAGTTTTGATTTCTCTGAAGTAGGTGGTGAGATCTTCCAGAATAGGCCTACAGTAGTTTTTGAAGGTGGGAGTCTTCCATGGGTACTCTTAATCTCAACCCTAGTATTAGTAATGTTATGCTTGCTATTCTAGCTAGCCCTCCTGTAGTATTCCTCAGTTTCCTTTACTTGAATTACTCCTACCCATTAAGGGATTCTTCATACTACATTTTCCTTGTACAAAATACTGTGTTCTCACTCTTCAAATCCAGCCTGATGACAAATAGTATCTAGAAGAGCCTAGGGAGGTAAAGATAAAGCCACAACAGCATATGGGGACTGTTAACTAAATGCCTTCATATTGAGCACAGTGCTTTTTGCAAATGGGAAATGAGCTGCTAGCAAAGTCTAGCAGGCAGGAACATCAAGCCACATTTTGCGATTCATAAAGTACCAAGTGATACAAATGTTTGAAATCCCAAGTGACTGCTGCGATGTGGTGGTAGGGATGACCTACAAAACAGGAAGTGACTGGGTGAATTCCTGCCTTTTTACTTGTGCCTACAAAGAAAATTGCAAGTTCAGCTACATAGTTTCAGCACAAGTTGCTCTGAGTATCAGAGGGCTTCCCAATAGCACTACAAAAGCTTATTTTGTATAATTTTATGACATATACTACTGAATATCAGCCGTGACGAATTCTTAATGACAACTGAATCTTATCACATGTCTCATATGACAGGGCATCGACACTTGGACCCCTCCCTGCTGAAAATGAAGAAGCTTGTCTGCAGAAATAAGCCTTAATCTGCTTAAAATTCACAGACAACTTGCCTGGGATGTTTCTTTGAAATATACTATCTTCCTCTACATTTACCACAACCATATTCAACTAGTACTAGGCTTACGTCAGCATGATCTGGGCAGGCACAGACACAAAACCTAAGGGCTTACAAATTAAGCAGGGGAAGAATGCACAGGCAAAATAAGGTGGACTGTGAGTATGGAATAAACACTATGCTATAGCCGAATCAATGGAGTTGATTCATATTTCTCCTTTAGGAAAATCTTTCAAGCATTGGAGACAAACACTTCATAAGGCAAGAGATATACACAATATTATACACTGATATATTTTAAAACATGCATGGAAAACATTAACATAGGACTAGGGGGATATAACTTGGTAAAGTGCTTGCCTAGCCATGAACAAAGCTCTCAGTTCTATTCCTAGCACTTTATAAACTGGGTATAATACTAGCACATTAGAGGGGAGAAGACGAGATCAGCAATTCAAGGTCAGCCTGTGTTACTGAGCTGGGCATGGTAGCACCCATCTTTAATTCCAGCATGCAGAGGCAGGTTCATCTCTTATGACTCTGAGGCCAGCATGATCTACTTATCTTTCTTATAAAGATAAAAAGCAAACTGATATTTAATAAGATCTTACACAAAAGGACATACATTGTATTAAAATAGTTACTAGTGGAGAAGGGCTAGGGCAGAAATTTTGCATACAAGTATCCTGTCCCCAGCTTAGTGTTGGGAAGACCATTCCCTCTACTTTAACACCACTGTTAAGACAGTAAACAGAACTGTCAAGTCACAGTAGTACTGAATCATGGAGCATGCTCTATGGGTAGTCACACAGGTCACACTGAAAAGCCCAAATTTACACCCTCAGGTACTAATTATATCCTTCAAGGAAAGGATCTAATAGAACCTTCCTTAGGGACTCTGATAAACTCAAGACATATTTCCTATGGTTAAGACCATTATTCCTATGAATTCATTAAAATATATTTTTTTAACGTGAGGTCTGTGGTATGCAAGTACCATGATGCACATGTGCTAGGCAGGGAACTTGCAGGGTCCATACTCTCACCATATGGATTCTGAGGACCAAACTCAGGTCATCAGGATCGGTGACAAAAGTAACTTTACCTGCTGAGCCATCTCTACAGCTTCTTTTGTTTTTATTTTATTTGAGGTCAAGTCTCATGTTGCCCAGATTGGCCTTAAACATACATCACCATGCCTGGTTTATAGAGTGCTAGGGACTTTGTACATGTTAGGCAGGCTGAGTATAGATTATGAATACAGATATATTCTATGCACGTGAGTGGGAAAGGGGGATGTGGTCCAAGAACTAGAAAGGAAACTGAGGGGAATTAGATCTTAAGTAGGGAGAATAGCAAGAGGTCAGCGGAGAGAAAAGAGAATCAACAAAAAACAAACCAGTACAGACATGCCACAATGAACCCCAATATTTCTATGCCAATTACAATTAATTGGTATCAGGAGCTCTCCAACAAATTCTCACTGTCAAAAATCCTTCAGAGCATACATCAACGCCATTTTTCTTTGAGACAGCATTTTACTGTGTAGCCCTTGGCTGACCTTAAACTCAGATCTACCTGCCTCTGTCTCTAGAGTTCTGGGATTAAAGGCCTGTGCCAGCACACCTAGCCTAAATAAATGTCATATTCTAACTAAGGCAAGCACAAAGCACATTCAATTCAGAGGAGCAAGGAAGGGGCTGGAGGCATGGCTCCATGGTTAAGAGCTTGTCCTGCTCTTGCAGAGGACCAAGTTTGGATTTAGCTGCAGTTCAAGGGGTCTGATGCCTGTGGCCTCCATAGTCACTGATATGCAGGCAAATTTAAAAAGCAGGGAGGTTAAGAGCACTGGCTGCTTGTCCAGAAGTCCTGAGTTCAATTTCCAGCACCCACATGGTGGCTCACAACCATCTATATGGACATCTGTGCCCTCTTCTGGCCTGCAGATATCCATGCCAGCAGAATACTGTATGCATAATAAATAAATCTTTAAAAAAGTAAGGTAGGGAAAGAGCTTTGAAGGAATGTAAAAAAGTAGGGTAGTCTTTTCAAGAAGACACCAGAATTGTTATCTATTATTTGAAAAAATAAATTTAAATTTCCTATGTCACAAAAATCCCCTCCCCCAACATAAAACTATAGGGAGGAGGCCCACAAGACAGACTAGATTGCCTGGCCAGCAAGCTCCAGGGATCCTTCCATCTCCATCTCCTGAGCATTTGGAGTACACATGAACCTCCAGTCAGGGCTTTTTACTTTAGTTCTGGGGATGGAGCCCAGGTCCCCATAGTCTGACAAAGGTTATTAACTACCTTTGCCAATTAAGTTTAGTGAAGTCAGTATCCAGCCACCCTTTAAATGTATACTTCACAGAAAATTAAACTAGAAACCTCCCACACAGAAGCATATCATTATGGGCTATTCTAATAACACCACTGAATGAGTCTGATCCAAAGTAGTGAAACTCACTACTATAAACTGACCCATCCCCCACCTTTCCCCTACCCCTTCGAGATATTCAGGACATCAAGGTAGAAGCAACAGGGGAAATTCTTGGTAAATGACCCTTTACTTCTTAGGTGTGATAGCTCTCTCTCATTTCAGTTTTAGGTTAAGGATTAATCATCTGAATCACCATGTTTATAGAGGAAAGCCAGTGGTCAGCTCACCTCAGGGACTATGGATAGCCCCTTACAGAAGTATCAGTAGCGCCCTAGAAATGGTTTGGGGGAGAAAAGTTAAGAAAAATAAAAATACTAGAAAGCCTTATATGAATTTCTACTTTTAAGTGTTAAAAAAAAAAGAACCCAACACCACAAAGATCCATGTTCAAGTTTTATTGGGTTTCAGCACAAAACATTCCAAAAAGTGATCTACAATACCTAAACTCAACATCCAACTATCATACCAAGAAAACCACACCACTTCTTGTATTATTCAAAATCTTTTACAACCAGTGCATAGCCAGAAGAATCAAAGACAGTTTTTCCTTCTAATTGAAGATTTTAAAAGAACTGTTGGGTCTGTAAATTTTACTATTTGTCAAAAAGGTCTCTGGGTAATTTCTTCCCATTCCTTACTTTGAATTTAGCATTTAATTTTACTCTAGTATTCCCTATGCTAAACTACTGTTAAGAAATCTAAATCAATGCTTGAGAGTTGAAGGATCTTGACAGAAGGAACTATTAGACTACTGAGGGCTTGAGTTAAGGTAGCTATTCAGGTACAACTACTAAAATTTGGTGAGTACCCTCACCATCTGATGAGAAATGTGATCAATGAGGCTTAAGTGTTTTGGATCATTCTCCCTAGTCATAAATGTTAAACATAATAGTACTAAATGACTTTGTAAGAAAAATCTCAGAAGTTGAATAAAATTCTTTAACTCTACAACCTGGTTCCTTTGAGTAAAATCCTTTAACCCTACAACATGGTTCCTTTGATAACACCAACACTTAACACTACTGGCTCTTAAGATTCCAAAGCAATACCAGACTTCGATCATGATTTGTTTTTTCTAAGCTTGAGACCTGAGGTCAAGTACCTTTATAAAACTACACTGACCTGGTGACCTATATTTGTTGCCAGCATGCTTCCCACTAACTTAACAATGTTTCCGTTTTTTATTTTTATTTCCTAGCATTGCTCCTCCCCTTTGAAGTTTTATAGGCCAGGGAAGGTTTTTTTCTGATAAGGTAATTCCTCAAATGGTTTAATGGCTGAAAAACCAGACATCAGTGGAAGTTATCATGGAAGCAGTGTTCCGATGAGTGTTCTTTTTCTGTGTGTGGTGCCAGGGACTGAACTCCTGGCTTCACTTGTACTTAGGCAGACACTCCACCATGGAGTTACAGTCCCAGCTAACTCAATTAGTCTGTGAGCATCAGCTCTCAATTGCACAGTTGCCCCATTATTTTGCCTAAGTACTAAATCTACACAAAGAGCCACGAGAACTTCTTGCCTGGGTACCTCCACTTACCAATTTCCCCATCTCCCTCTCTTCCTTTGGTCAATTTTAAATGATCACCACTCCCTAATTAAGGTTTAACCATCACTGATGCCTCCCTCCCATGAAGACAAAAATAATCTACTGCCTATACCAAACCAATTCTGATGAGCACTGGGAATGTAACTGCTGCAGCTTAGTCTCAGCATTCCTCTGCTTCAACAACTCTGTAAAAGAAGCATGTGATCAAGTTACAGAGTATTTTTACACTGCAAAGCACTTCGATCCTCTCTCAAGTGCGCACAACTGGGCTTCTCAAGTTAAGTGCTAGCTCTAAAGTGCCAGCTTCCAAATGTAGTCATGTTCATTACAATTACTCTAGGCATCAGCTTTGTAATATTAAAATCATACACCCTGCCACATGGTGCCTCTGAAATTCGGAAGTTGCTGTGGCAGCTATAATACTAACTAGTCAATTGAAAGTAAGCGCTGACAGCATGCACGCAATTCACACAACATTGCTCACATAGCAAACTATTAACTATATAGCTCTTTTCACAAAAATTCTTGCAGGCAAAGAGCGGTTAATAACTATTTCAGAAACTCCTAGTAGTCCATCCTACCTGTACTCTATTTACTCTATTTAATGAAAATACATTTATATACCTTCACTGAAAAATGGATGTGCTAGGTTTTTATGACAAAACAATTTCATCCTTTATGTCCAGAGTTGAGCATTATTCCATTTTACATACAAATTAGAGGTCAGAAAATAGCTGCCAATCCCATAGCCACACAATGACAAAGCTACAGTGTTCAAAGCTTTGAAGGACACTACTTTCAACTTACCTGAGCATTTGATTTTTTTCTTACTGCCAGCTTTATCTGCTGTGAATCAATCAGCACTCCATTACAGTATGACCATTAGGTTCAACCTGCAAAAATTACATAAGTGAAAACTAGTTATTTCTCTAAAGGAATTTCTTTAACACTTGCCTGTAACTGCCCTTTTTTTCCAGAGAGAACAGGCAAGTTCAGACTTGCAGCTTAATGCTTATTTCATGTTCTACTACTTTTAATTGGTGGAAGGTTCACTGGCTTGGGATGGACTGGAATGGCTTAAATGGTTAAGTTGCATGGCTTATGGATTCTCATTCTTTTCCAATGGTGCACTGCCACGTTAAATCCATAAGTTGAACGGACAAAACATTTGAAGGAATAAGTGCAGTCTAAAGATTTTTAGTTGGAGGTCTTCAAGTTTACTATATTCAAGAGCATCTTTTTCAACTTCATGGCTGGACCTGGGTCATGCTGCCTCAGGTTTTTGCTTTTTTTAAAGACCACTTGCAATACATTTTTTTTTTCTCCATACAGTGTAGTTTCATAGAACTAAAACAAGTCAGGCATCCAACTAAAGGTCAAGTTTGCAATGGCTTATAGGGGTCAGACGGGGGACCCCAATCCTAAGCCATTTCTTATACTGACTAAAAGACTAATTTGAAAAAAGTCAAAACATGAAGCATGTTTAAAGGTCTTCATCAAAAATTTGTTTAAAAAAAAAAAAGAGGAAAAAACACCCCCTCCCAATTCCCAGATTGCTATTGATAAACAACAGCTGCGTTAATGCCTTTAAGTGTCATACATGCTTTTAAAAAATCCAAGGTTGAATTTGGAGGACTTCTAATATGCTATTGAACATTTGTGGTTCTTTTTCAAGTTTTTAAAAAAATCTAGCAGGCATTTCCATTGACATGAAGTACAGTATGTTTCACTGTACTATGAGGAAGGTAAGTGCTCAATTTTGACTTAGACGGAAAAACTAGTTTGCTTTGCTTACCATCTTTGCTGTTTCACAGGCATTTGGTGCTTTAAATCTGATGTGGAATGCTGATAGATTCACTTTTTAGAAGTCATAAGCCTTTAGGAAGTTGGAGATAACTTCATTGCTTATCTATTTTCTCCTTTGCAATCAAGCTGTTCCTTTAAAAGTGAGACACTACAGAGTTGCAAAAATTTGAAACAGTAAGAGCAAGCATGGTTTTGCAGCTTCATGGTTGGTTTTGGCCAAACTTTTTATTTAGTATTCTGTAGTTGTTTAACACACACTTAAATGGTCTTACTAGGGGAGGGGAAAAGGGAGGTTTCTTGTAGATTCCCAAGGAAATGTCAGAAAAGCAAAATATGGCCAGCATCCATTTGCTTTTTTGGGTTTCTGGGTAATAGCACATTCCTAGGCATCTGATCTCAGGGTTGTTTTGTTTTTATACTGTGAACATTGAGATTTCAGTTGGAAGACACCCTGAAATCCTAAGAGTAGCACACCCAACCAACCCTCTCTAATAGCTGGCTTGTCTGCATAGGTAGGGTGATTCATCCCTCAATGGAGACCAAAGGACATCTATATGGCTGAAAGTTTGTGGAAGATCTTAGATTGCTTTCCTCATTTACTGGGAAAAATCAGGAAGTGGCCTTCAGGGACACTTTTACTTGGAAAATTACAACACTATTACAAGTCAAGGCTTACACATTTAACATTTGCTTGTTGAAAGCAACTCATAATATCAAATAAAATTAAACATGTCTTACTTTTTCCCTCACAAGAACATAAAAATTATTAAGGAGAACAGGAAATTTTAAAAAAGGTAACACAATCTTTCCTTTTAGTAGTCCTTGGGTAGTTTATGACAGAAAGTTTCCATTTTTGTTTGTTTCTTTGAATGGGGATTTTTGGTCCAAAAGTTTTGTTTGTTCCTAGTATCTGCTTCTGCCTCCCCCTCTATCAGATCGGCTTCCTCCACGGCCACCACCTCTTGGTGCTCCGCGGCTTGAACTGCTGTAGGAATCACGTGGAGGAGGGTACCCCCTTTCCATAGAAGGGGGAAGCCCTCGTTCTTGTCTGCCAACGCGATCACGACCACTTGAGTAGAGATCACTTCGGCTGCTTGAATAACTGTCTCGACTTCCACCATATCCGTCACGTGAGCTGCTGTAATCATCATAGCGACTGCTTCCACCATAAGATGGCGGGGGCCCTCGTGTAGGTGGAGCACTACGTGAGTTACCTGCAGGGTCAATGGTCAGGTAATATGGCAACACTATAAATTGTATATATACAACATTAAATCTGAATTTACAGAATTCGTGTATTATAAGTTTACTTTCTCAACTGGGAAGTTTTAAACTCTACCATTGCTGGCCATAAGAGGGATTGCTCATCTGCTGAGATACGGAAATGGATTGGTTTTAATGTTTGTTTGAAAAGACCGAAGACGTTGTGTATTTCAAGAGGACATTCCAGACAGCTTGTTATTTTATAGTAGACACTCAGCCACTTTCCAGTGATAAGTTGCAATTTTGAACTGTTGAGTTTCCTTCATATTGCAATGGTAAATATTTGATCTTGTTAATAAAATTTTTAAATTGTATTTTCACTGTTGGGGGAAAACACATAAGGCTGCCAATTTAAGCAAGCAAAATCCCCTCCAAAGCAAGCGAACAGCCTCAAAAGGAAAGAAAAACCAAACAAGGAAAGAACCAAAAAGCCCTTCACAAAACTAAGAAAAGCCCAGCTGATAAAGTTTACCCCTTGAAAGCAAGCAAAGGTTCCTTTAAAAGCAAGCACCACGCAGCCTATTCATCCAGCTCATGAACCTAAAACCTCAAGCTGGTGATATTTAAGACCCTTAACTGGTATCTTACCATAACTCTCATATGAATCTCTGTAGGAACCTCCACTTGGATGGTCTGAATAATCCCGATCCCGGCCATATCCATCTCTATCACTAAATAAAAAACAATGTTTTTAAATTAAAATATGTATTAACCTCTGTTCTATGTTCATTTCATAATATAAATGCAATATGCTCTAAGAATTCCCCCAATCCTTAGAAAATAAGTCTCAAATCTCTTCAGATTTTTAGCTGTCCAATGCAAAAATTAATTGTGTGAGCATCTGAGGAGACATGTGCATTCATGATGATCCTATAGATCAAAAGATATCTTTGTGGAGTCTCTTCTCTCCCTTTTACCTCTACATGGCTTTCAGGGATGGAAGTTTGATTGCCAGGCTTATGTGGGAGGTGAAGTTTTACAGCAAATACTTAGATGTGAAGCACTTACTTATAGCCTCTTGATGGGTAGTCGTCACGTGAACTGGAATGACCATAATCACGGTAAGTATAATCTCTTGGTGGAGGTGCATAATCTCTCGTATCTCGAGAACTTGGATAGTCTCTACTTGAATAGCTACAGAAAAGAGAATTTGGTTTATGTCTCTGATGTGCTCTCTTTCAACACAATTATTCATAAAAAGAAACTGCATTTTTCTGTTACCTGTCTTTAGTGGAATAGCCATCATCTCTTGGGGACAAATAAACATCTCTGCGAGAGGGAAGGGGCTCCCTTCGTGGTGGGCCTCCATAACTATCTCTTCCACGTGACACAGGGGCTTAAGGAAAAAAAAATAAATCAAAATCTAGCTATCAAAGAGCTAAAGTATGACCTTACACAGGGGTTAAGAAACAGCGATCTAATCAAATACCCCATTAACTGAAACAGAAGCTTCCCAGTCAATTACTTTCAGTGCTCATTAATTATAAATGTAAGATTAATTGGAGGAAACTCTAAAGCAGTCCTGAGCATAAAGCATTAAAAAAATAATGTGTATGTGGGGCATGGGCATGATATAATGCAAGTGTAGTCAGAGGACCACTCTGAAGGCACAGTTCTTTCTACTTTACTTGTGAATGGGGGATTGATTCAAACTCTTGCACTTGCAAAGCAAATGCTTTACTCAGTGAATCATCTCACTGGCCAATCATTTAAAAGAAATAAAAAAACAGGGTCTCCCCAAGTAGGTATTGAATTCATGCCAATCCTATTTTCCCTGGTGCTAGAGCTGGACATGCAACACCATACCTGGCTTCAACAGAGTGTTATGGTACCAGCACAGATTGTAAGGCATGCAACAATTACCTCTTCCTCCCATTCCACTGCTGCTACGAACTGGTCCTGAAGGTGCTGATCTTTTAGGAGGAGGACCCCCACTTCGTGGTGGTGGTCCTCTTTTTACTGGAAGAGGCCCCCTCGAAGAACTCATGGTAAAATTCATGGAATAGCCACCATCATCTACATTAGAATAGAAAGAAAATACATTAATAACACAATAATCAAGGAAAAGACTAAGAACTATTTGCCTACAGGGAAGCCATCACCATTGTCTTTTCTGCTCACTTGGGGAGCCTAGGCTTGTTTTCCATTGAGCAAGATCAAGTATGGGAGTTCTGGCCCAGCTGAATTAATAAGGGAGACTTTGTTTCAGAAAACCAGAAGTCTTGTAGACTGGGAAAATAATAGTCACAGTCCTGCTCTTTTTTTTTTTTTTTTTTTTTTTTTTTTTTGTTAAACTTAGGTAAGACTATTTGGCACATAGGTTTAATACTATAATTTAATTTAGGCCTTCCTATATTGTTTTCAAGTCATGAACACTAATTAATGTAGTGAGTAATCTCCATTTCAAAGGCTTTAGACCAGCAGTTCTCAACCTGTGCCTCATGATCTTAGGGGTTGAAGCAGCCTCTCACAAGGTCAAATATCAGAATATAACAGATATTTACACTGCAAATTCATAACAGTAGCAAAAATTACAGTTCTATGAAGTAACAAGGAAATAATGTTATGGCTGGGGGTCAGCACAACATGAGGGACTGTATCAAAGGGTCACAGCATTAGGAAGGGTGAGAACCACTGCTTTAGCCTTTCAAAAAGAATATAAGCACTGGTGTGGGTGTGCAGCTTTTAAACACCAAGCCTGAGTTCCAATAGAATCATTACCCATGTGTCCTAAACACCAAGCCTGAGTCCCAATAGAATCATTACCCATGTGTCCTAAACACCAAGCCTGAGTCCCAATAGAATCATTACCCATGTGTCCTAAACACCAAGCCTGAGTTCCAATAGAATCATTACCCATGTGTCCTAAACACCAAGCCTGAGTTCCAATAGAATCATTACCCATGTGTCCTAAACACCAAGCCTGAGTTCCAATAGAATCATTACCCATGTGTCCTAAACACCAAGCCTGAGTTCCAATAGAATCATTACCCATGTGTCCTAAACACCAAGCCTGAGTTCCAATAGAATCATTACCCATGTGTCCTAAACACCAAGCCTGAGTTCCAATAGAATCATTACCCATGTGTCCTCCTCGGGAGGGTGGTCCTCTAGTCCCTCCACTTCCTCCTCTTGTTCCTCTAAGACCTCTGGGGGGGCCTCGGCTTCTTGGAGGTGGAGGTAGCCCACGTCTGCCACTTTCGAATGATGGTTTGGTGGCTTGCTCCACCTTGATGGCTTTTCCATCTAAGGACTTCGAAAAATAAGAGAAACTCAGAGATCCACTATGCCCCATAACATCAATAGGTCCTTCAAAATACAGTTCTGTCAAACAAGTACTATATGAAAAATGATGGAAGTACTAGGTCTTTTTTTGGAAATAGTATTTCTATAAATAACACTTTTCCATTCATTTAAAAATTCTACTTTTAGACACAGGGGATTCATTGCACTAATGTTCAGTAAAATTCAAGACAAGTCTAGGTAGGTGTTCAGCTTATTATCAAAACTAATAAAAAAGTGGTAGGTTATCAAATTATGGTTTATGGATCCCAAGATAAATAGTACCACATAATATCACTACTGCTCTGAACTAACTCTTGTTAGGCATATAATCCTTAACATTAGCTACACAATATGGTTGTGGAATCACAATAAAATATACAAGAGAATTGGTGTGGCCTTTTATTCTAGCACTTGGGATGCATAAGCAGGAGGATTTCTGAGTTTGAGGTCAGCCTGTTCTATATATCTATATAGTAAAGATTACACAGATAGCCCCCCACCACTTACTAAAAACAACCAATAAAATAAAATTCAGGATAGTGCTACAAAGGGCTATGATCAAAAGTCTCTGGATATACACATAAAAATACAAATTCCAGAGCTGCTCTGGGCCCTAATACTTCTTTTTGTCACCAGGAAACCCCTTTTTACTAAGCAGCCAATCATACCTTTCCATTCATGTCTCGGGCAGCATCCTTTGCATCTGCTGGGCTTTCGAAAGTGACAAAAGCAAATCCTCTTGATTTGTTGGTTTCTCTGTCCTTCATCAAAAGCACTAAAACAGTTTGGGGGAGGCAGTTACTTTCGTGTGAAGAAAAATAACCAGCACACATTTACCAAAAGCAAGCTCAGAACTTCTTAGAGGACAAAACACATTATCATGTCAGGTGATCAGTGGATTCAAATTCATCACAGCTTGTCTTTTCATTATACTAATAGAGCATATAATTTAGATAACTCACCTTCCACTATTCGTCCATATTTGCCAAATACTGCCTCAAGGGCTTTCTCATTTGTCTCTGTATTGAGACCACCAATAAAGAGCTTTCCTGGTCGATCTGCTTCAACCATTTTTTCTTCCAACCGATAGGAACCTGCTGAAAATTAATAATATTATGTCTCTGAAGAAAGTTCCCTAAATTCAGTGAATATTTTAATTGCCGCTCATGTTTTAGTAAAAACTTTATTCTTTAGTAACTAAAAAACGCCAATAACCCTCAAGAAGGGTAGAAAACCAATTGAAATACTTTCAGTTAAAAGGAGAGTTCAATTTTCATTAACCGGGTTAACAGGGTCTGCCTAATTTACCAAACTTCTTAGTGTAATCCGCTGCTTTTAGTCCATGAACAGTTATTCAACATTTGAAAAGGCAACTTTTTTTCCTTTTTAAAGAAGGCGCAGCCTTTAGAGTGCAGGAATTAAACTGACAAGGGCCACCACACCCAGCTATTGTATTGACCTGCTGTTCTTTTAAACATTCCGTTACCTATCACCTTTCTCGGTTCCCCGCAGGGAAGGGTAGAAAAGACTTCCTATTCATTCAAGGTCATCAGCTAGATGCACCAAGTGAAGACCAAGCCCTTTTCTCATTTAGATTTCCTAGTAAGTTTAGGCACAAATCTGAAAGTTAGAAGAAAGTTGCCGCACCTAACTCCAACAAAAGATTGCTATCTGACTGAAAAGATAAAAAGTGGCAGAGTCAGAAAATAATCACACAGTTAACACTCCTTCCCTGTGCTGGCACCTAATTAAGACTCATTAAAAACCGCGTGTTAAACACAAAATGGCGACACTTGGAACCAACCCAGAACCAAAAACAACCGCCTGGTTAACTAACTTTTGCAATTGATACCGGCAGGAAAAACTCCAAAAGCTCCCTCTCCTTGCTGCCAACGACCATAGAAAGCCACAGAGACAGACATCCACCAACCCATCATTAGCTCCAGCGCTGTCCTGGTGCTAGTCCTGCAGTTGCACCGCGTCCCGCCCCACCTTCAACGCTGCGCGCTGCGCCCTCCGCCCTCAGGCGACAGGCGACAGCCAAACCTCCCAGAGATGCATGCAAGATAACGGACCCCCTAGGGTGCTGCTTCCACCCCTTCTGCTTTAACTAGGTTGGCACCTTTGGGCGTCTTAAAATGGCGCCCGCCACCACTATCTATCTCCAGGGAAACAAACGATCTCCAGCCCTAACATGACAAGGCTGTACGGAAAACAGGTCAAGGAAAGGAGGCTCCTACCTGAAGGGACTGCAAAGGTCTCAAGCTCCTACGAGCTCGCCCAGGGCGCCTTCCGAGCAGCGCTGCACCACTGACAGTAGCTGGGTTTCCAATCGGAACAGAAATGACGCTAGGACGACTGCGCAACGAGGGCGAACAAAGGAGACAGCAATCTTTATACTACCCGGGAACGAGGCAGAAGAACCCGGATGGAAATTAAGCTTAGAATTTGAAGCACGAAGGGAGGGAGGGGAATGGTTCCCAGACTCTTCATTGGCAATCTCCTAAGTCACTCACTATTTGCTCCGCCTCTTTCCTGTGTCTCTTAAAGTTCTTGCAGGAGCGCGATTTTAACCATTGCCCTGCCCCCACCCATTCTCCCCCCCAAGGCGCCTTTTAGCTTTCTGCTAAAACAGTGCACCGGATTTATTGAATAAAAAGTAAATTTGTTGAACGACCTAGTAGAAAAAGCATGGCGCAAAACTTTTGCTTTTGCATAAAATCTGAATGCCAAAAGCAATGTGAAAATGGTAGATAGTACAATGCCAGTGTTGTAGAAATAGCAAACAAAAGAAGTTTACTTGCTACCCTATAACTGCTCAAATTTCTTGAGCAATAACTAATAAATGGGAAGAATCTGGTAAGTAAAATGTTAGGTGAAAACAAATTGAATGGCACAGAAAAATCAATCCGCACAAAACAATTACTGACTACCTACAAGATTTGTATACAACCAAGAACAAGTGAGACTAGGCTAGTTAAGACTGCCAAATGTAAATACACGATGATAGTGGGCGTGCTGGCCCACACCTTTAATCCCAGGATCTGGGATGTGGAAGTAGGGCAGCAATGAAGCTATGAATTCCAGAATAGCCTGGATTCATTAGATGCTGTCTTAAAAGAAAAAAGGAAAAAAGAAAAAAAAAAAAGGCAAAACAAAACCAGAAAAAAAAAATGCTAGCAGTTGTGTTTGAACTTCAAGTGAACATTCATAATTTGTTTTGTGTTTTCAGACCTTCTTGATCAGCAATCAGGCTGAGGCTGGTCTTGGAACTCATAGCAGTCCTCCTGCCTCAAATTCCCAAGTACTAGGATTACAGGCATAAACTACCATACCAGGTTCTGATTCTAAATTTTTATATGCCTTGTGTGGGGGGGGAATCACATTTTTTTCCTTCCTTCCTTCCTTCCTTCCTTCCTTAGACATAGTTTCCCTGTGTATCCTTGGAGCCTGTCCTGGAACTTGTAGACCAAGCTGGCCTCCAACTACAGAGATTATTAGCTTGACTCTGTCTCCCACATCACTGCCCATCGAAAACTACATTTGTGATAGGAGTTGTTTCCAGACAGGGTTTCTTTGTGTAGCTCTGGCTGTTCAGGAACTCGATTTCTAATATCCTTACAAATTAAAACATTCATCCCATGTGGTGGCTCACACCTTTAATACCAGCACTTGGGAGGTAGAGGCAGGTAGATCTCTGAATTTGAGGACAGCCTGATCTACATAGCAAAATTGTTACAGCTGGGGCTACTTAGTGAGACGTTGAAACAAAACAAATCAAAATGAAACAGAAAGTAAACTACAAATAGATGGAATGACTGCATATTGTGACTAGTGCTAAGGGGAAGTAAACGGGATGACTCTAGTAAACAGAATTAGAGGAGAAGACATTTGATCAACACATCAGAAAACCAGGTTTGTGGAGGTTCATGACTGTCACCCCCGGGCTCAGTAGGCTGAGGTAAGAGCATGACCACCAGTAAGGCTACATAACAACCCCCATCTGCCTATTAAATTAAAAAAAAAAAAAAACTAATCAGGAAAGGCATACAAGAGAAGATAACTGAAAATCACAGACAAAGAAAAAGAGCTGAGGGAAAAAGCTTGGTATGATGATGATGATCATTTGAGACAGGATCTCTTAGATAACCCTGCCTGTCCTGGAACCTACTTTGCAGAACAGGATGGCATCAAACTCAGAGGGATCCACCTGCCTCTACCTCCAGAGTTCTGGGATGAAAGGCATTGTGACACCACCTGGCTAAGAGTTAGTTAATAAGTAGGGATTACTGTGGGGTGAGTGAATTGAAGCTATCCAGAGTAACTTACATTTTTACAGGGAGGGCATCTGGAAGTCATTCCAGCAATGTCTCCATTACAAAGTACAACATGGTTTTTTTTTTTTTTTAAACTCTGTTGTCTTGACATCTTTCTCTAGGATCCAGCCAGATAAATGGATGAAAGTAGGGAGGATCAAAGTGAGGTAAACCAGACCAAGGAAGACAAATCTCACATGTTCTCTCTCATCTGAGGTTCCTAGCTTCAAATCTTCAAGTGTGAGTACATAATCTGGATTAACTGCAGAAAGCAAAAATGGCATGATTTTGGAGGAGCAGGAAGGGTGACAGTAGAGACGGTAATAGCAGCACACAAGTGATGTGATAGTGGAAGTAGGAAATATAGAAGAAGGAAGGAGGGGGTAAAATAAAGTTATTGTTGTTGTTCTTGATTGCCCTCAGATGAGGAAGGAAATTCCATATGTGGACTTTGTGCACAGAACCTGGAGGATACAAGCTGGAAATGACCTGAATCGCTCCTCCCTGAGAACCAGCTTTCCTGGCACCAGAAGGCACCATGCAAGATTCTAAAGGAGGTAAACAACCCACAGTGCTATCCAGGTATGATGCCTATTAATCCCCAAACCAAACAACAAACACATGGTCCAAGCCAGGCTACTCAAGAACTTTTGATCCATTTGCTTTTCCTCCCAAGCGATATTACAGGAGTGTGCCACCACATCCAGTAGTGTACCTAGTAAATTTTACACATTATAGAAGAAACTAATATGTAAGGATAAATTAATGAATCAGACTTGATTTCTGCCCTAATGAAGCCAATAGTCTAGTGGGAGAGGAATGGTTATTAGAATCTAATGGGGAGTAGGTACTAGGCCAGTCTGGATGACTTAGTGGAACTCTCTCTTTCAAAAAAAGATAGAAATGACCCACAGGAGGAGGTAAGTGTGGGCCTCTTTCTGGCCCACCTCCTGGTGACCTGCTCAGAGTCTCCTGAGGCCTGGGGACTGACTGCATATGGGGGAACCTGTCCTGGTGAACCAGGCCATCCAGAGTCTGCCAACATCACTGTGCTACTCCCTCCTCCACCCACAGGAAGAGGAGAGCAATCAGAATATGGTACCTGCTTGCACCCACCAGAAGACAACCTTGGCCCTGTACCCACAAGGAGAGGGAGAGACCCCACCAGCACCCACCAGAAGAAATAATGGAACGACAACAGTATAAGAACACACTAAAAACAGAAAGATCAACATGGTGACAGAAGAGTCTAGGGACTCCACACCAGCAAGACCTGAACATCCCAACACGGATGAAGCAGAAGATACCACCCTAAAAACACATTTAGGAAGGTGACAGAGACCCTAAAAGAGGAAATGAGAAAATCCTTTAAAGGAATGAAAGGAAAATACAAACAAAAATGTCAAGAAATGGAGGAAAAGACAAATCAAAAATGCAAGAAATAAACAAATCTTTTAAAGGAAAACAAAGAAAAAACAACCAAACAAGTGAAGGAAACAATTCTAACTGATGAAGACTTGAAAGTTCATATAGAGACAAAAGAAAAAACAAACAAACAAAAAACAACAATAAGCCCCCCACACACACAGCCTGAGGGAATGCTGGAAATAGAAAAGCTGTGTAAACAATCAGGAGCTGCAGATGCAAGCATAAACAACAGAATACAAGAGATGGAAGACAGAATATCAGGTATTGAAGATACTCTAGGAGAAATAGGTGCATTAACCACAGAAAATATTAAATCCACCAAATCATTAACACAAATACAAATTATCTAGGACATATGTGACACCATGAAAAGGCCAAAACCTAAAAAAAGGCAAGCTAATAAAACTAAAAGAAGTTTACAAAACAAATACCAAATAGAGTATACCACAAAAAGTCCCCTCACCATATAATAATCAAAACATCAAACATAAAGAAAGAATATTAACAGCATCAAAGGGAAAGGGCCAAGTAACATATAAAGGCAGACCTATCAAAATTACAGCTGACTTCTCCATAGAAACTCTGAAGGGGATAGATGTTCTACCAACATTAAGGGACCATGGATGCCAGCACAAACTACTATACCCAGCAAAGCTTTCAATCATTATAGATAGAGAAACCAAGATATTCCATGACAAAATCAGATTTAAAAAATACATATTCACTAATACAGCCCTACAGAAAGTTCGGGAAAGAAAACTCCAATCCAAGGACATTAACTACACTCACAATAAGTAATCTCACTGTACCAAAACTAACAGAAGTTATGACCCAGTTGGGTTTATCAGACATTTATAGAACAATCCATCCAAACATAAAAGAATATACCTTCTTCTCAGCTCCACACGGAACCTTCTCTAAAATTGACTACATATTGGCAACATAACAAACCTCAACAGATACAAAATAAATTGATTAGTCCCCTGTATCTTATCAGACCACCATGCTTTAAAGTTGGAATTCAAATTCAACAATAACACAAATCACAGAAACCCTACAAACTCATGGAAACTGAACAATGCACAATTGCATCACTCCTAGGTAAATAAAGAAATAAAAAAGAAAATAAGGACTTCCTAGAATTCAACTAGAATGAAGATACAACATACCCAAACTTATGGGACACTTTGAAAGCAGTATTAGGAGGAAAGTTCATTGCACTAAGATTTCACATGAAGAAAACTAGAGAATAGTCACATTAGAGAACTAACAGCACAATTGGAAGCTCTAGAACAGAAAGAAGCAAACTCACCAGGGTGGAGTAGATGCCAGGAAATAGCCAAATTGAGGGCTGAACCATAGCGTAGAAACGAGGAAAACAATACAAAGTATCAATGTAACAAAGAGCTGGCAACCTTTTATCCAAACTATCAAAAGGCAGAAAGAACATACAAACTAACAAAATCAGAAATGAAAAGGGGGTCATAACAAAGGACACTGAGGAAATCCAGGGACTCTTCATAATTTTAAAACATATATTCTGCAAAATTTGAAAATTTAAAGGAAATGAACAATTTTCT